TCCATATTCAACTACCCAATATTATTCCCAAAATCATATCCAAAATAATAAAACAAACGGAATTTGCTATTTTGTATTTTTGGAAAATAGGATAGTATTTTGAGAATTTTTTTTTTTGTATATTTTTAATAGTATTTTATGAAAATATTTAGATTATTTTTAATCTCTTACTTTTATTAATTTAATTAAACACCTCCAACAATTAAAAATTTATAAATGAACAAAAACACCCTCATTCATCCACGTATTGCCGACAGTTGGCCACCATCATCGGAAGGTGGCTAGAACTGTCGTAATGACACACTAGTAGTTGGATCTAGCCGGTAGTGCGTCGATCAGGTCTTTTTCGATCAGATCCATAGTGGATTTGATGAAAAAATGCTAGATCAGTGTACGACTGGCCAGATCCAATCGGTCTAACGGTAGTGGCCAAAATCTGACAATATGTGGATAATGGGAGTGTTTTTGTTAATTTATAAATTTTTATTGTTGGAAGTATTTAGTTAAAATAACAAACCTAAGAAGTTAAAATGATCTAAATATATTGAGTTAAATAGAATATAATTGGATTTTAAGAATATTCAAACAGGTGTATTTTTTAGTTTTTAGGATAAAATAGTAGAATATGATGGTATATTAAAAGTGTGCCAAATGGATAAGATTTGACCTTTCACACATAACCTCGACCACTGTTACGTAATTGATTGGCAATTTGTTATATTTATTTGTTTTAAGCAAGTTGCTTGGGATGGCTGTGAATCTCCTCTTCCTCTTTCCCTCTTTCCTCAGCTGCATGAGGGTAATATTTTAGATTATATGTTGTTATTCTTAAAATTCCAAAAAACTTGGCTTGTAAGGAAGGAGGGGTAAGTAAGTGGTTAATAGAATCCAAATGTATATATTTTGGGCTTTCAGTAATATTTTACAAACATTTATCATTTCGCTTTAAAATGGTCTTGCATTCTTTTACATTCTGAATACCTAGTTTCATCATAAAAATCATGCCTCTTTTATTGCAGGTTGGGTTGATAATTGCATACATTAGAAGGAAGTTTCACTTTGACAGGTATCACACTCACACCATCGTACCCACAATTAATTTTGCTGCCAATTAGTTCTTTATTGAATTTACTCAAGTTTTGTCTTTCTTTTTACCTTCTTCATGGTATAAAAAATTCGCATATGGTTGCTCTTTTACCATTGTTAGTTGGAAAGATATTGTTCTCTCTTAGGGAACTACTAATTGATGGAGTTTTACAATTGTTTTGGTACTGTCCATTAAAAACGACTAAACTCCATCTTCTTGTTTGTCTGGGATCTCCTAACTGATCGGTATCTAAACAAATTACTTGACGAACGGTCTCAAGATTAGGCTAGAATTTTCGCTTATGAATATTCTTTATCAGTATTATTGTGGGTTAAAACACCCTGGTTGTATATGTTTTCACAGAAATGTTTGGTATGACTCATCAATAGTTCAGACTTCAGACCATGGTAAGTGGGATTTGTGTGCCATTGGCTTGCGTCTGGTGAACTCTTTCCAGATTCTGTTTGTATTATCTGTCAAAATGTATTGATGGGATAAGTTACTATAAATTTCTTTTGGAAACTGAAGTACCTAAAACTATGCCAAATTGCAGGGACCGAACAACTGATCGAGAAGTTGCTATTATAATTCTTATGGCTTACTTTTCATATATTATAGCTGAAGTAATTTTCTAGTTAACCTGTATAATTAATGAAATCATTACCATTTTTTTTCTAGCCTCATACAACTTTGGTCTTCAATTATTTTGTTGGCAACTGTTATTTGTCCTTCCAGCTATTTCATTTGAGTGGCATACTCACCGTTTTGCGGGATTGTCATGTTGCACTACAATTAGCATTGTGTGAATAAAGATTCAAGAGTCACCGCTAAGTATGTTGAATGTTTCAAAATGGCTTTTCAATACCTTAGAATGTATTCTTACTCTGTGTGTGTATATAGTTATGTTGGTAATTTCTTGAGCTGTCAAATGATTTGTACATGCATGCTTTTGCAACGATGTCTTTTATATCAGAGATATTCATCTTTCTTTATGTTGGTATGGATGCCTTGGATATTGAGAAGTGGAAGGTTGTAAGCCAGAGGTACTAATTGCATTTAACCTCCCCCAACTAATCTGTAAATATATATATTTGATTGTCTATGCCCGTTTGCCCCTTCTTGTTTTTCTAGGATACAAGAATGTCCATGATGTAACTTGCCCTGCAGCATTTATGTATATTATTCTTGTTCTTAATTTTTGTTTTTTTTTTTTTGCTTTCCAGTCCTGAAACTTCAATTGCTGTGAGTTCAATGTTGCTTGCCTTGTTCTGGTTGGAAGGGCAGCTTCTGTATTTCCCTTATCATTTTTAACCAACTTAACGAAGAAGTGTAAGCGTAACAAAATTGAATTTAAACAGCAGGTAGGAACTTTGCTGGTCTTGCTTTGATTTTTTTCTTTCTTTCTTGAATTACTAATGACAAATGATAATACTAATTCAGGTTATAGTTTGGTGGGCTGGGCTCATGCGTGGTGCTGTATCTGTTGCACTTGCAGACAATCAGTTCAAATGTGGGACAATTAAATGAATTTAATTGCTTTTTAGTTTCAGAAACCCTTTACTGCTTTGGTATGTTTGGCCGGCACCACATTCTGACTAGACTGTTTGTTTTTTTTTTTTTATAGTTATTGACAGAATGAGACTCCGAGTCTGAAAAAGAATGAGCATTCTGAGTAGTGGCAATATGCTTAATTTGTTCGGTGTTATAACCTTTTGCAATTGGAATACATGAAAACCAAATATTGATGCATAGGCACACATTTATTTGTTTATGATAATTAACATGTCTTTTTTATTCTTTTTCCTTTTTCTGATGGAATTGGTGTTATGATGTGTTCGCAGTTTACTAGGTCGGGACATACTCAACTAGACGGAAATACCTTTATGATCGCCAGCATCATCACAATTGTTCTGTTCAGTACTGTGGAAAGGGATCTCTGTCGTAGAGGATTCAAAGTTACCCTTTATTTGGATTGGTTGTTCTATCTTAAGTTGGTATCTGCCCAATGGCTATAAAAAATCATTGTTCTGTAATTTTACTCGATGTGTTTCAAGTATATGAAGTCTAGTTTGGGAAGGTGTCCAAAAAGTGATCTGTTAAAATCGTCGCTCATTCTCAAATTCTGATGGATTCTTGATCTCTTCTCAAGTGTTTGGATTAATGACGAACCTTCTTGTAAGGTTAATGGCTCTGCAACGGGAAGATTTAAGCAGCTGGACATCCTCTGATCCTATGTCTGTCCGTTGCGTTGCCACTTCTAGCAAATGGGCGTGATGCTAAGCTGATATGCCTCGTCCGGCAAGTCTACGCATGCTTCTAAGCGACCCAGGTCACAGTATCCATTACTATTGGCGGAGATTCGATGAGGCCATCATGAGCCCTATATTTGGCCGCCCACGTTACACACCAGTCGTTGCTCAACAGCAACAACCCCCGTGAATTGTTGATTTAGATATACAGTTTATCATATAGAGCCGGTGGGCTTATCCATGTAAAATAATATTAAACGATAACGGATGGATAAGAAATTTTGTTAAGAGTGAGTACACCTCGGGTTCTAACTCAGTAACTTGTGTAAATATTGAATAAAAAAGAAATTAAGGAGATAGAATACGTTTTACTGATGGTGAAATTTAGCATAGCAGTGTAGTTTACTTTTATTGATGCAAGCATGAAGTTGAAGTGTTGATGGATGTCAGTCTGAGACAGATTACAGATAGTTGGACTCTCGTTGTATAATTTTGTTTGCTTCTTTTATGATAGAAGCTCCAGTCTGGCGTTTTCGACCGTTGCAGTATTTTTGTTCCTTTTATTATTATTAATATTTTTTGTGGCTCCCATACGCTCCAAATGATTTCCTTCACGCAAAGTTGAATTTTGAAAGGCATTTGAATTAGTGGTACATAAATACGTCCAAAAACAGTTTACCTATCTTGTGCATTGTACAGTTACAGTGGCATAAGTTTAGGCTTTTTTTATTTAGATCCACCAACCAAGGCACCATTTACAATTTCACTATCTACTTTTGTAGAAATACTAAAAAACCTGTGGTGCCATCTGATTTAGAACGGCTAAACGAGAGACCACTTGAATCCAATGGAAATGTAAAATTCACACACTTACTTACCCCTCCATTTAACCACCACATGGACATGGGAGTTGGGTGCAAAAGTAAAAATCTAAAAATAATTTGAAGGCATGTGTATTTTGGGTGCCTCGGGGTTTACGACATCTTAAGCATTATATTAATAGATGTGAACAAGGATTGGAAAGAGACGAATAAATTAAAAATTAGTAACAAGTTTGTATTGTATTTAAACTACAAGTGTTGCAGCACCGCTCAGTCTCTTCTATTTACCAAGTAGAGACAAAGAAGCAGCCACGCTCTCTTTCTCTCTTCTCCGGGTTCTCCCCACAAACCGAAGACCACTCAGGTACTCTTTCTTTCTCATTATTTTTATATTTTGTAGTGATGACAACCTGAATATCAGTTGATGTTTGGTTGAGAACACTACAGTCACTGAGAATCCAAAGGAGGACATTTAGGTCTTTCCGTTCTCTTGAGATTTGATTTTGTTTTTTGGGAAGTTCTAGATATTTCTTTCCATATATTAGATTCACATTGTTTTTATTTTCCAGATACTCTGTTTTTGGCAGCTATTATGGCATTTGAAAATTGAAATTCCCTCTTTGGCATTTAGGACTTGAAATGACTGAATTGCCCCTTCATAGATTTGTGCAGTTTGCCCTTTTTAATGGCAAATGTAGCAATCCAAAGGCTGTTACCCAATTCTGATAATAATATCTGCTCTCTGGACTCTGGTGCTGTCTATTTCTAGGTTGTTGAACTTTTAAAAAGGCCTTGTGAATTTTATTTTTTTGTTTCTTTGTCTTTGGCTTTCGAATTTGATTGTGAAGAAGGTAAGAAGAGTTAGAGAAAGATAGAAAGGATGCTGGAGATGATCAAGAAGAAGGAAACATCACACTGGTGGTGGTTTGACAGTCACAAGAGCTCCAACCGTTCTCCATGGCTCCAAACCACTATTGCTGGTAAACCTCTTTACCCCTTTTTCCTGTTATAAATAATCCTACTCTTTCTTTGTTATTGTTTTCTTTCTTTTCTCTGAACCATGTGCCTTTTGAATCTTGGTTCTAATTCTTGAGTCTCGACCGTTGGAGAATGTGCTTTTTTTTTTTTAATATTCTTGAAGGTTGAATTGTTTTCTTTTGATGTTATGTTACTTTACACAAAAATTGACTTACAAGTGAACATAATTGGTGAAGACTGTTTGTTTCTTTGAGGGGTAGAGTACTTCTATGGTTTTAAACTATCTTTTTTTTTGATCTAGAAATGGTTTACTGTAAAGAAAACAAAAGGATAATTAATGATGGGCCTCACCTTTTGGATTTATTAGCTTGTAATTACAGAATAATAATACCATCTATGAATTCCAGTATTACATTGTTTTTAGGGTCCACAGTAATTATTCAGTGGTAGGGATGAGAAAGGATGGGCTTGAGAAATGAATGAATGGGAGATTGGAGAGCCTTAGGTTCCTCTGAAGAAGAATTATATCTTATCTTTTTATGTCACTGGTTTTGATGGATGTTCTTCGGTCAGATATGTGATGATTTCTAGAGAGATCAATCGAGTGGTGGTACTAATTTATATGTGATATGGTGGTCCTCAGTGTAGAGGAACCTTAACCTCAAATGCGTAAAGTTTTGTCAGCGCTTTCTATTTGTTGACTTTTAGGATTGGCCTCTTAATTAATAATCTTTAAGCATTGTACAACGCTATTTATGACCTAATAATGTACGGGACCCATTAGTATCCAGTTAACATGTATAACTTTTCTTATGATGAACAAGTGTTGCTTCTATGGAACAAGGAAAGTGGTAGGGCCTTGGACTCTCATTTCCTGATTCCCATTTGCGTGGTGGGGTCATGTTCTGAATTCACGAATGCCTCCTTTTTGTTTGCCCCTTCTTTTGCTGGTGGGTAAACTTTGGAATTGAAGGACCCTACAAGTAGTTTCATTATAGTTAAATTTATAAAATGCTACTTCTAGTATTTATTGGTAGCTAGTTGAACATGTTTCATTCTTAGGTCAACTATTTGTGGTTTGCATACTTCTAGATAGTGTTACGAACAAATATCTTCCTTAACTACATTTTGATTGTTAATTCTCCCTTGTTTATAACTGCCCCAACTTAAAATTTTATGGTGAATGTTAAAAGATAATACTTTCACATGACTACAATTTTTACAGATTAGAACTTTTGAAAATGTTCATATGTGAATCTCTTGATGTTTATTGATGCATCCCCTTTCAACTTTCTTAACATCTAATAATTCTCTACTCATTGCTCACTTCAATTTTATGATATATATGTTGATTTGGATGCTTTTCTTTCCATTAATTGATTGACTGGTTGATACAGAGCTAGATGAGAAGACAAAGGCAATGCTGAAATTGATTGAAGAAGATGCAGATTCCTTTGCCAAACGTGCAGAAATGTTTTACAAGAAACGGCCAGAGTTAATTAGCATGGTTGAAGATTTTTATCGGGCCCATCGGTCATTAGCAGAGCGGTATGATCAAGTGAAGTCTGAAACTGGAACTCGTGTCCTAGCAACATTTGGATCTCCATTCTCTTCAGTCAAGCACAAATCAGAGAAATTATCAAGTGTAATGGGTCAAACCTACTATAGCTACTCAGAGACTTCCGATGCAGAGGACTATGCTGAATCTGAAGTTGACAATCCTGAACAGGAGGCTGAAATTGAAATTGAAAATGAAATTGAAGAAGTTGAGGATCCTGAAGTGGAAAATGACACCCAAGTTGATATAGAAATAAAAGAAGATGAAGATTCTGAACAGGAAGAGGAAATTCAAGTTGTTAAAGAATTGAAAAAAGATGTTGTTTCAAGTGAGTTCTGTAATGATGAAATCAAGGTGTTGAGGGAAGAAATTCAGAGACTTAAAGAGGAGAACAAGATACAGGAGGATCAACTAATGCAGAAGGATGAAGAGAAGAGAGAAGTGATTAGACAGCTGAGCATGACTGTGGGAGTGCTCAAGGAAGAAAATATGAAGCTGAGAAAGTATATAGCTAGAGACTCCAAGAAAAGCAGCCCCTTTGAGTTCAAGAAATTGAAGGATGGATTTCTAGGAAAGTTATTTAGTGGGTCTTCAAAGTCTCAGGGTAGTGTTTTGCCTCTCTAGAATCTCTAGATATGGGTTGGAATTGGATGCTGGGAAGTAGCCTAATCTGTAGCACAGTGTTTATATAGAATATAGCATGTAAATGGCTGGATATTTTAGCTCAACTTAACAAAGTTAGATGTAGTGTTACATTTTGGTAGTTCCATTGTTTTTGGTTTACGTTGAAGATGTGTCATCATATTGTAATATCCATTGTAGTTATAATAATTTATAATTATGCAAATTTTAATCTTGATTCATCATATAACCTTTTGAGATGTTCAAATTTTTCCTATGCTAGTAGCCTAGTATACAGAGAATATTCACTTTCACTGCAAAACAGAGCCTGTCCAGGTAACCATTAAATGAATACATGGCAGTCTCATTTTCTAATGGAAAAGAAATAAACTAAACTGTTCCATAAATTTTACACTATGCAGGTCTCAAAAAAACTTCTTTCCTTCAACACAATAATAAAGTACACGAATAACAGGAACAACTAATTTATTCGTTATTATTTTTTAAAACATTATCCTATCATAATGCCCAACAATGCCATACACACTTGATTCACTAAAATCACTAAAGCAAATACTATATACCACTAAAAGAAATATACAAACATAAAGTGGACGCACTACTGACAATAATTGGAACTGCCCCATTAACAGTACCTCACATACAAGTAAGCTGCATTAAGCAAAACAGTAGAAAACCAAGAAAAATGGCTAACTTTAATGGCGCTGCTGAAACTGAGGAGGAAACTGGCAAAGATCCAAATGGTGACAAGGCTAATTCAGGTCCAGGTGCTATCATAACGTCTGGATTTGGAGGGCTTGGACTTGAAGGAATTGTTGGGAGAGATGATTCAGTTGGAGAAGGAGCCATACCTTTAGGAGTAGGAAACAAAGGAGTAATGTCTGGTGATAAAGTTGGAGTTGAAGCTATGGGAATAGGAGCACTAGGCAAGAATGCAGGGGCAGCTGATATTGTGGAGACTTGTGCATGTATTTGAGTTGAAGAAAAAATAGTGATAAAGAGCATAAAAGTTGCCAAGAAGGACCAAAAGGAAGCCATTAAATGATGCTGTAATCAATTCTCCTATAATCAACTTCAATAAATGTGTATCTTCAACTTCAAGAAAGAGAGAGGGAGGGTAATGAAAAGAGAATTATGAGGAGAATGAGAGGAGAAGTAAAGGATGGTGAAGGCTTAAAAGTTGAGCTCAAAAAAGTGGTGGTAGGGACAGAATGATAGGTGGCAAAAGATGATTGGGTTGTCTTATGAAAATACAGCTCTGCATTTTTGCTAAGTGACAAGATTGATTATGCAAAATTTCTTCCGGAGCACATGAAGATGGGTTGTGTCTTTTATCTTTTTCTCTGAGTGTTTGTGCTGTATACTGTTAGTATGTCCCGTGAATTTTTGTTGTGAAGGTTTAAAAAAGACTTTTGCTATTAAGGAGAGTGATATTAATTATTATGCTCTCTCTCTCACTGATGGTTAACTTTCTGGTACTGTGCGTGAAGTCAATGGGGTTAATTTGGATGCACAATGATGAGTTTTTTCTTTGCAGGGTTGAAATATAATTATTTTAAAAACAGCCAGTTTGTATAAGTAAATATGTTTTTGAAATTGAATTCAGAAAGTTTTGTTTAAAGTCCAAATAAGAACAGGGGTTGAGAGTGAGTGTGAACAGAGCCAACTCTGGTAAAACTTTACTGGGGATAGTAATAGGAGGAGACCATTCTATCTCTAGATTTAAATATTGAAAATGACACCTCACCTCGTCATAAATAAATTTTGGACTCTTCTCATTTTACAGCTTCGACTTCAACCGGATCTTCAATTACAATATAAAATAATACAATAGTTATGTCAGCAAACGCCGAAAACAAACAAACACATAAACGCCAATAATAATAATAAATAATATTAGCTAGTGCCTAGTGGGTAGAGTTAGGATTAGGGAAGGAAGCCCATACTCCTTTTCCATCAGCCAATATGGGGGTGGGCCTTCCCTACTGAGCCCGTCCGCACTCCACCCCAAACTCATAATGGATCAAAAGATTTTTCAATTTAGAAACAAACTTGTGAAAATGATCTGATATTTGTATTACTACTTGATGAATGGGAGGTTAGGGAACAATTCAAGTTCTTTAGCGGGATGATTCTATTGCTTTAGAAGACCCCTTTTAAAGGTTTAGAAAAGCATTTGGTTGGGAAAACAGCAACAACAAAGCTGGAAGAAGTTGATCACATGATTGGGAAAAGAACAGCAAAAAAGCTGGAAGAAGTTGAACAAACATGGATTTATATCTAAATCTCTAATATCTGTCCTCTACCAGTATAATTAAGGATGCATTTGTCCAGTGAACGGATTGCCTCTAAACCAATACTTTGATTATTTGTCTTACCTTCATATATATTATATATTTGTTTTTTGAGTAATTGTTTATATTATATAAAAACACCAAAGGATTGGTCTAACGGTTAAAAAGAGCCACTTATTTTTTATGACTAGGGTGTCCGACCAGCTTGCGTGTATCTCAATTAATTCCTGGGACTTAAGGTAAGTCACAAATATGGTAGATGACTCCAAGGCCAATCCATTGGAGTTTTCATATATATTATATTATATTGATAAACATTTTCATCTTAAATCTTCCGTACTCAAATTAATTCTTTTTTCACCAAATTTTGATAATGAATTAAGTTGTATTATCCATATTTTATAAAGAGGCTCAATTGAAGTAGCTTAACCTTGTCAATTTGACTCTATCGACCCAACTTCTTATGTTTATTAATATTTGCTTAACAGACTGTTGTTATAATAAATTACTCAAAAAATATTTTTCATCAATTGTAAGTGACACCGACAATCTTTTAAATCATATAGTAGTTAAAACTAACCTCACTTAAATCTAAATAAATCTACAAATAACTATAGAGAATTTGGCATTATGGATAGCTTTAGTAATTGGAAATGAAGTTGATATTTTATTTAATGAAATTGACATATATTTCACTAATTCTCCTCGAGATTCTTGCGTTGTTGCTTGTACAAATAATTTTTGTTTTATCTTTTTGAATGATCATTTTTATATTATTATGTGACAATTTACAAATAATTTAAAATTATTTTTTGAATAATATTAAACATAGGAAATTTCTCATTATTTTTGCTACCAAACATCTTGGGATTTGATGTCTCGTGACACTCCTTACCTTCTAACGTCAAACACAGCGGGCCTTTTCACTCTACATTCACCACGTATATGAGCACATGGCATTTCAAAGAACATGAAATAACTCATAAATGCTGATATTTTATTAAAATATGATTCTATTATTACTTTGAAATTTAGATCTTGTTGGATTTCAACTATAATTTTTCTTATTGCATCTAGAAGTTCTGGGATTGAATTCTTGAATTGCAATACAAAATTATAAATTGTTGTTGATGCTTTGAGTGCTTCCTTGCACTTAACAGACTCCAAAGTAGTTGTATCATTCTCAGCTTACATTTTTCAGTGATGTTAGCAACAATTTCTTCTAAACATTATTTAATTAAATTACTACAATTATATACCATGAATATTATTTAATTAAGTACATAAATATAATGAATTTAAATCATTGCTTTAGTATATATTTAGTGGATTAATTCATATTCAGTTGATTATATTGGTAAAATATAATAATTTTTAGTCTATTAAATGTATGTTTATGGAATCATAAATGCATCTTTTAATTAATAAAATCTATATAGTCCTACAGTTATTAGTTTATATAGGTTATATCTATATAGTCCTACAGTTATTAGTTTATATAGGTTATATTGTATCTATCAAATTTCTGGTCCACTTTAAATTAATTATATTATCATAATAAAATGACGTGAAAAAGTTATTAAACGATAGTTAGGATAAAATTTTCTTAAAATAAACCTATAGTAATGATCATCAGTTTCCATAATTACATCATTTACGGCCATAATCACAACAATCCTTATCCTCTGGAGCAGCTGAGCTAAATGAAAGAAAAAATGGAAGAGGAAGCATGTGTTATAATAGTAGGGTGTGGCCCCTCCGGTCTCTCGGCGGCCGCCTGCCTTAACCAGCTCTCAATACCTTACATAATTCTTGAGCGAGAAGATTGCTACGCGTCTCTTTTTAAGAAATATGCGTATGATCGTCTCCATCTTCACTTGGCTAAACAGTACTGCGAGCTTCCTCACTTGCCATTCCCTGCTTCTTATCCAACTTTTGTTCCCAAAGACCAATTCATCCAACACTTAGATCACTATGTTTCTCATTTCAACATCACTCCTCTGTACCAAAGATCGGTCGAGTTGGCAAACTACGATGAAGACACCAAGAAATGGATTGTTAAGGCTATGAATATTGTTTCTGATGAGATTGAGGAATACAGAGCCAGGTTCTTGATATTGGCAACTGGAGAAGCAAGCACTCCTTTTATACCAGAGATTGAAGGATTGACTACTTTCACTGGAGAAGTTATTCACTCAACTCGCTATAAAAACGGCAAGCCATATGGTAATATGAATGTTCTGGTTGTTGGGTCTGGTAATTCTGGCATGGAAATTGCACTAGACCTAGCCAATCACGGTGCTAAAACCTCCATAGTTGTTCGTAGTTCGGTAAATAATCAGTCTCATTTAATCTCCACATATATCTTATATATTTTGACAAATGGACTTAATTATTTAATTTTTGGATTGTTGAATGATGGTGCAGGTTCATATATTGTCAAAACAGATTGTGTACTTGGGATTTGCTATGTTAAATTATTTTCCGTATGGAATGGTGGATTCGTTTATGGTGTTTCTAAGCAAGCTTGTTTACGGAGATCAGAGCAAGTATGGAATTGGGAGACCTAAGGAGGGTCCATTTTTCCTGAAGAATGCATACGGCAAGTACCCAATCATCGATGTCGGAACTTTCAAGAAGATTAAATCCGGAGAGATCAAGGTAATAAAGAGAGAGTCATGGCTACATCGTTTTTTCCGTTCTTTGTTTCTGTCGGTTCCTAAATTATATTAATTGAGGGAGGTGGGATTCGTTGTTGACATTTTCATTACTTGAAGAAAAAACTTTTGCTGGAGTAAGTTATTTGAGTTGACTTACTATCATTTTCTATTGCCTTATACGCTAACTTAGTGTTAAATTAATTGCACGTGTAGAGCCAAAAAGTGAGAAAACTAAATAAAATGATTTAAAATTAATTAGTTAGCAAGAAGTGTTGTCCAGTGCAAGGGCCACGAGATATTGGTGCATTTATTTTGCGTAGTAACAATCAAATATTAAACTCACCATTTATCTTGAAATGTGCAGGTGTTGCCAGCTATAGAAAACATAAGAGGCAATGAAGTGGTATTCGAGAATGGCGAGTCACATCCATTTGACTCAATTGTTTTTTGTACGGGGTTCAAGAGATCAACAAATAAGTGGCTTAAGGTAAATTGATTTATTAAAGATATAATAAATCGAAAGCATATAAAATAAATACAGAGCTAATAATTTTAATTATGTAGGGAGATGATTACTTATTGGACGAAGATGGAATTACAAAAGTGAGCTACCCAAATCATTGGAGAGGAAAGAATGGTTTGTTCTGCGTTGGATTGTCAAGGCGAGGACTTAATTTAGCTGGTATTGATGCTCAGAGTGTAGCTGATGAAATCAAATCACTTCTGTCCCTCAAATCAACTGCTTAAAGTTAAAGATATATTATGCATGAGTTGATTCTGCGTGTGTAAATTTTTGTTGCTCGAGCAGCTTTGTTCGGAAATAACGGCATGAGATTGTCCGTTTAAGGTTACGCTAATAAAACTCCGAAATTTGAGCATACTTCCATTTCATAGCCATGGTTCAAAGATTTTGCATCCCTACTTTCTTCATTGTGCCTCTTCAATTCTACCTTAGAGGACACCAAAACTGTAATGTACTTCATTAAGTGTACTTAAAATTATAAATGGTAATTAGTTGAGTTAAAATGGTCATGGATCAGATATTAGCTTGCTTTTCCTATGGCCTGGTTCCATCTAGATGGAGTGCTTTATTGGGCCATTGACTCAACCTTTTAAATCTATACTACCACCACTCTTGTCACGTTATTTTCTATTAAATAATTTATATTTGTAATTTAGTTG